TCATGTAAACTGACCTTTTGAGAAACCACAAGCAAGTTTAGTAGGCTCTGTAGTCATCTATAAAAGAGGGGGTCAGTGAGGAGGCTGGCCTGGGTCACATAGCGAGGAGCTGCAGATCTGGTACTAGGACCAGAACCTTGGCCTTCTGTGTCCGTGCATACAGCTATCAGAGGCTCTGAGCATCCTTGGGCTTGCCTGCCCCCAGATACTATGTCTGGAAGAGGAGAACAGCCCCTGGAAACTCTGAATCAAGCCTCACTGGGTGGTCTAGCTAGCTGAAGGTTGGTTGGTCAAGATAGCCTGATGGCTGGGAGTCTCTGGTAACAGTGACAGGAAGCCATGCTGAACAGTCATTGTGGTAATGCAAACAAAAGCTGCCCACACTCAACATGTGCTCTTATGGGTCAGGCTCAGGGATTTGCATCAAAAACCTCATCCTTATAGCCAGGGTGGAGGTAGGTGCTTCTTGCCACAGTGAAGAAAGTGAGGCAGGTAGAGTATTTTTAAAAGGTATTTGCTCTGGGACAAAAAGTCCTGAAATGATATGTTTTAAGAAATATTTAAGAATATATTAAAATTTTACTATTAATCATCTATAATGTCAGATAATAATTGTGGGGATTCATATGATACAATGTGATGCTTTTTTATTGTTTAAGAATTTCATGTGTATTCCCATAGATCAGTGTATGTAGAGCTTTTAAAGTTCCACTTAGGTATGTACATTTGCAGTCAGGCCTGGCAGCAAGTACTGAGTCATCTTGCTGGTCCAACCTGTAGTTTTAAATTCGGCTCAGAGCTACTTGATTGGTGAGTGGCAGAGAGACTTGTACCCAACTGCTGGCCTGTATCTACGTGCTAACATCCCCCTTGCTTCCAAGTGAAGGAATGATCTCATGTGGAGACTTCTGCCTGGCCCCTCTGATGGCATCCTTTGACAAACACAAATCATAGGTTGGACCCTGGCTGTGGCACTACCACAGACTGGGGGACTGGCAGCGAGGGGTAGGGCTAAGCTCAGCCGGGGCCCGCTGCCTACTGATTCTGGAGCTCTGGAGGGCGTGCACCTTGGGAAGCAGATGCAGTTGTAGGCTTGCTTGGGCAGCACACTCAGGCTTGGGGGTCTTTCTGACATCCCACTGGTTTCTCCTTCCAGCTCAGCTTGCTTTCCAGCCCTGTGCACTAGTACTAATGAGTTGGGAGCAATGGGAGGCTTGAGTTAGCTCTTGCCCAGGACTCCTGGCAAGAATAAAAGCTCCAGAGGGCAGCTCAGAGAATAGCTTGACGTAAGACCTGACACCTCTTGCAAATGTCTCTTTGTAGGGCGTCCCAAGGGGCCCCTCTGCCAAGAGCCTGCATAGACCCAGCTCAGTAGCGCATGCTACTGAGGGACAGGCAGACATAAAGAACCCACATACCTTAGGAACCCCACCACTCTGCACATTCTGAAACAGGAAAATAACATGATTGGATTGTGAGCGAGCTCTCTGGTGTTTCCTAACAAGAATGGTCAGTGAATGAGAAATGATGAGCTCGGACTAGGTCAGGGAGAGAGGGCAGGGAGCAGAGAGACCGCTACTGGGAGTATTTGGTGGCAAAGTTGGTTTGGGTTGTTTGGATATCAGATTTTCTCACGAATTGAAAACCCCCAGGTTATTGGTTTGAATGACTTGGTGAATGGTCGCACCACTGATTAAGAATGTGAGGGAGACTGTTTAGGGGAAAGGTAAATTCAATCTTAAGTGTGCTGCTTTTGAACACGTACTAGAGAAGACTGCTCCATCTGACAGGCAGAAAGACAAGTCAGGAGCCTGGGGACAGACAGATACCAGGGAACCCCAAGAGAAGGAACTTCTGAGCACAGGACTTCTGACTTATGTAGATTGAGCCCAAGTAGGCTGAGGACAGAAGCCTGGGAAAGAGCAATCCTCAGGGAGATGTGAAGTGTTGTGAGAGAGGAGGCCAAGGGCACTGTCACTGAAGCCAGGCAGAGAACGCTGTGAAGGAGAGAGACGATGAAAAGAATCAAGTGAGGCAGACAGGAGCACAAAGGTTATAATAGGGACATCCTCTGCAACTGGCAACTGCAGGACCACCCGAGTCCGCTGGAAACTGTTTCCGGAGAAGGTGGAGTGTGAGGTCAGCCTACAGAAGGCACAGAGTGGGTGACTGGAAAGGGATGGCAGCAGACAGTTACAGGGAGGAGACCCCACTACGGCCAAGACTGGACCCTATGAAAGTCGTCGGTACTCTAATGAAAGGGGAAGGATAGAGGGTGAGGATGAGGAGACAGTGAGGGTCCCAGGAACCTCTGTAGGCTGGTTTTGAGTTGACCATAGCTAAATTGGTCAAGAGGAGTAGGAATGAAAGATAGGGGGATTTTCAGATCACAGCTAATGACCTAGTTTTCTTGGAATAATTAGTATGTAAGGTTTTCTAGAGTATGGCAAAGGGAAAATACAGACTAGTGGTCTCAAGACAGGATGGGTGCCTCTGCAGGGAACACCATGGACCTGAAATGGTCCCACTTAAGAGATTACAGCAGCACAGAGTAGCTCAGGAAGGGATCAGAGCAACTGGGCTGGGCTATGTTGGTTTTGCTGGCAGGTATATGAGGAAGGATGCCAGGAAACAGAAGTGTAAGGATGATGATAGCCTTAGACAAGTGAGGAAGGCAGTGACTAGGTCACAGGAAGCTTGAGTTAGCTCTTGCCCAGGCCTCCTGGCAAGAATAAAAGCTCCAGAGGGCAGCTCAGAGGGTAGCTTGACATAAGACCTGCGTCAGCAGCTGGCTTCCACCTCCATTCCCTTCCTTTTCACTTCCATTCTCTATCCATCGCTAGCCAGTTTAAGGCTCCGGTTTCCAAGGAGGAACCATCCAGCTGTTCTTCCAGGTCGGACCAAAGCACTGCACAACACCATGCTGGTGGGATTGATGAGATTTCCAGATAGGATATTACAGTTGTGCTCGTTTCCCATCATATGAGATACAACGGAGAATGCTACTTCCGGTCTTTCATTCTTGGCTACATGGTCTCTCCTCTGGAGGCAGGAGGTATTGCCATGCAGTCTGGAGTCCATGTCTGAAAATCAAGTTGGTTTTGTTTTTAAATGAATTTCTAACACAATTAGGTGTTTGGTTACATTGAAACACTATGTGGTAGACGCCCATTTCTAATCTTAAGAATTTTCCTATATTGGACTTCCTTATGTCGAGGCTGATTTCTAATTAACATCAGGTGTTTGCTTCACATCAAATCCTTAGAGCTATCAGAGTCTGGGCAGATCTCTGCAGTTACCCAGGACTCACAGGTACTCAAGGTCTCTTTCAGGTAGAGCGGTTGCAAAGGGAAGGTCTAGCAATTCTAGACTCCGGGTTCCAGATGAGTGATTGGTAAATAAATGCACCCATCTGCTTCTTTTATGAAACAAGCACACCAGAATCGCAAGATTCCCAATCAGAGATGAGCCTTAGGAGGGGCTGAGAAAATGCCAGGCTAACTGGGCAGCAGAGCACTGTAATCAAGCCTGGTCCTGCCCCGACCTTGCACTCAAGATCATGTACCTCCTGTTAACCTCACCTGGAACTTCACACCAGTTAAGAATGCTTGCTTAGGATCCCATGATCGGCTTTCTTACTGATCCACATCCACATCTCTGCACCTTCTAGAAGCTTCGTCTGCATGTCCCCCTTCCCATCTCCCTGATACCGCAATGAACTTCAGCAGTCCTTGCAAACTGAAACTCCCAATTCGAGTCATTCTCTTGTCTTCTATCACTCACCAAGAACCACAGGTTTCACGACATCTTCCATGCATGCTCACAGGGACAACCCTCCGATCCAACAGATGGCTCCTGACAGGCGACACCTCCCACTGGGCACACTGAGGGCTGAGCTGACCCAGCGCTGGGCTCTGCTGAGTGGCCACCCCAGAAGCCACCGAGTTCTTTCTAGGGCACACTTTTCTCGACTAACCTCTTAATCCTTCCCCTATCTGGGTTTTACTTGGCAACATTTTGCAAGCAACCCATTTAATGGGCCTCTAGGGCATGAGGGTGACATCAGGCAGGTACTGTGCAGTTCCAAAGGTGAAGTGAACATAACTCCTGCTGTCTCCTTCTGGCATGCACATGCAGCGGCAGTACCTGAGCCTGTGCCTCTTCCCTCAGCAGGGGACAAGAGTCTACCCTGGCTTTGCAAAGCTCTGCTTCTGTCTGAACCCACCTAGGACCATGCCCTGTCCCCTGCAGGAGATAGCACACCTAACCAGATCATGAGAAAGTGCAGAACACTTTCTCATGGCTCCCCATCTCGCTTGAAATCTAGAACATTTTAGAAAGAAAACAATTTAATGGCTTCCTTGATTTACAGACAACAGAAAGACAAATGTTTCTCTCCATGCATGGTACAATGAAACTCAGGGACAAGTAGCCATCCAAGGACAGGGGCTGCTGCTCAGCCTTGTGACATGTGGTCCAACTTTATGGCTCAGCAGCTGCAGTCACTGGAACGATAGGAGGCTGCGTGGCCTCCTGAGATGGGAGTAAGGTGACAGCTACTGAGTGTGCTGCCATGCATGGACACTGCCATGCATCAGTGGGCCAGGAGCTGAGGAGAGGGAAGCAGGCTTCCAGGTGGGCTCTGGAGACCACCATGGGCGCAGTGGCACCACAACAGTTCCTGAGGCTGTGGCCAGGCCAAGCTACGATATTGGCACTGGAGAAAGTGGGAATGAGGACCACAGCATCCTGGAGCACAGGCTGAGTGCTGGGTCATATTTTCCTTGCACCTACCAAGTTCTTGATGACACAGCTCCATCTCCCAAGGGGCTGTAAGATTCCCTAAGATGTGGAGCTGAGAGGAATGGTGACCATAGGGGGGTGAATCCCACCCAGTCTTGTGGCCGTCTCAAATGTCTCTATTCCCATCTGCCTTCCCTTCCCTCCCTTTTACCCAGGGACCTAAAGAGACACTAGAGACCAGAGACCCAACCACACTCCCTAGTTTTAACAGTCAAGTACATTTCTAGAGAGGGAGAAGGACAGATGCCATGGGTTTTTGAGGGAAGACTTCAAATAGGGAAGGGAATTAGCCACTGGCTCTGTCCAACCCCAGAAGCTGGTAGCCATGGCCTGGGTCCCTGATGCAACCATGTCAGCCATCTAACTGAGCATCTTGTGTCGATCGAAGACCGTCTTCCGCTGCTCCTGCACCTGCAGCTTCCATCGCTGCTGAGCGCCTTCCACTCGTTCCAGGACAGTGTTTGCTCGGGGTCCTCCAATGGATGCAGCAGCTGCTGCCATGGAGCGTGCATCCTGCATTGGACAGGGAGAGGAAGCAATCTGAAATGACGATTATTGCGTCAGGGCTCTGGATCTTTCAAGTCTGCCGTGGAACTAAGTGCCCCACGAGCACTTCTAAACTCTAAATTCCCCCATGGCTGTGGGCTCCATGAGGGCCTAGCTTTGTCATCTGAAAACCTTAACACTGTGTCTGGCCAGAAAAGCTTTGTCGTCTTCAAGAGGCAGAAGGAGCATTTTTCTGGAGCCCTAGTTCTTTTAGCAGAGCTGGCTCAAACCTAGGTCCCACCCCACAGGCCCACTCCTAAGCCTCAGGAGAAGTACTGACTATTGGCTTCAAGACCTCACATAAATAGACCAAGGCTTCAAGAGATATATACCCAAATGCACAGGGCTGGTAATAGGCTGGCACACTCCCCTACCTATCCTACTGCCAAGGGGACATCAGGAAGGCCAGAGACCAGAGCCTGGCTACCCTGAGATTGCTCCTGGAAATAGGTGGATGAGGGGCTTCTTAAGGAGCCAGCTGCAGAGTCTCTTGGAGAAGACAAGTGGACAGATGAATGGATGGGAACACACACACACACACACACACACACACACACACACACACACACACAAAGCTTGCTTCTCCTGAGGAAGAGGAGATGGACATGATTTAGAGTCTGGCAGGGTATAAATCTAGGCCTCAACATTCCCGTTCCAAGGCCTGCTGTGACCATTCCCTGCCTGGCAGCTCTGCTCCCTCTCAGCCTGTTTGCCTGTCCCCTTCCCCTTTGCTCTCAGACTTGCTTCGCTTTTGTCATCAGTCTCCCCTTAATTACCACCCCTCTGCCTCTGAAGCTCCAGAGCCCATGCATTTCCTGCAGGACCCAAAGTTGATCTTTGGGGGAGAATTAGTGCCGAGGGCCAGGCCCACAGCCCATGGGGATTTCCTCCCCAGCTCTCCCCGCCTCTCATCTCCTGCCACATATCTCTTAAAGGATTAGTGTACCCCTCTAAGCCCAGAGCCGCCCAGTAAATGCAACTTTGCTTCTAATGCCCTGAGCTGGCATAGCTTCTGTCACCACACAGCTGCCAGGCTGGAGAGCAGGGTGGAGTGGGAAGATATAGACGGGCTGACAGAGGTGGCTGGCTTGCGAAGGGGCTGGAATAGTCTTATCCTTGAAGCCTAGTACTGGACAATTTGTCTAGAGCTCACTTGTTTCTAAGGTGACTTAGAGATGGTCCTCTGGGAACTCCTGCTCAGGACCCTGAGCTGGGCATCACTGGCAGGCCAAGTGAGGCTCAGGCCTGTAATCCCAGCTATACAGGAAGCAGAAATAGAAGGATAGCAAGTTTGAGGCCAGTAGGAATAACTTAGTGAGATGCTGCTGCTCTTTAAACCATGGTTGAAGAGCTAGGTATGGGTCTTAGTAGTAAATAAAGCACTGACTGAGCATGTGTGAAGCTGTAGGTACAATTTTTAGCAACACGCCAACCAAAGAGCAAACCCAAACATAAATCCTAGCCATGCCTCACAAAATTCCTTAATGACCTAATGTGCTTTGAGTACCACAATGTGACTAGTGGATGTATTTGTCAGAGGGAGACTCATATGTCAACTGAAATGGCAAGCAAGGACGGGGGCTCAAGCGGCCTTCTCCCTGGGAATTCAGCACAGTGGTACTGACTCAACAAACCTGGCTTTGACTCCTACCAACCTTAGGTGAGTCAATTTCAGAGCCCATCTCTCCATACAGAATGGAGACTGAGGTGGTCTGAAGGACACAACGAATACAGAAACTTTGTCAGCATGTAGAGCTGGTAGGTATTCAAGGTCAGTGCGAGGAGTTTCAAATGCTGATTTGAGGATCCACTGAGGCAGGGCGGGGAGTAAAAACAGGCTGTCAAGGGGAGCTGCCTCTGAATAATCACCATGGCCAACACAGCCTTTTTACTCTGCTCCTCCTCAGGCTGGCTGCGCCACCTCAGTGGCTCAAGCAAAGAGCACTGCTCTTCGAATGGCTGTGAGGCTGGGCTGGGCAACAAAGACTTGCCTGCCTGGGAGACAAAAGGTCTACCAGGACCCCATTCCAGCTTCAGGAGCCCAAGGGCCTGCTTTCCTCCCCATTCTGACTCTTGTCTATTCTAGTCCCAGGGTTGCCATGAGGGCTCTGGCAAATGAGTGCCTGGATATGAACCTAGGGTCATCTTGTACAGACTGGAGAGGGTGGGAGGGCAGCATCTCTGCTCTTAGTTTGTCTGAGGAAATGGGAGCCAGAGAGAGCTGGAGCAAAGCATTAAGGGAGTGTGTTGCAACTTCACTGCATTACCATAATTCCTCTTGGGAGCGCTCATGTGAAGTCTTAGCAGACAGCTCCCAAGTGTAAAAAAGCTGCTGTTGAGAGGCTCTGTAGTCCCTAACAGTCTGATTAAAAGGTATTAGAATAGCTACATCTGTTCCCAAGAAGACCCATGGAGGACCTCATGCCTGCCTGCTCAGTAGTAGAGCTGGCAGGTGGCTGGGTGGGGGGAGAAGGTAAGTCATCACTTTTAACTTCCCTTCTCCCATCAGGGCTGGGACTGAGGAATGCAGGGAGGCAGGGGAGAGTTAGGACAGGGGTGGATGGAGGGCCTCCCATAGTAAGGCATTAATGTGGATGGTTCCCTAAAGGTCCTCAGTTAGCCAGACTGATGTGACTCTGACAGACATACACCAGTATATGACAGGCTCCTTCCCAGGCACTTCCCAGGGGTTACTTACAGGCTCCTACTAGCAAATGGGTAATAAATATTACCTCCATCTGGTGCACAAAGCTTAGACTCTGAAGGAGAAATCACCTTGCAAGCCGAGGTCACCTGGCTGCAGCGGAATTGAAATTACACATATACCCTTATCTCCTGTCTTAGGACTCAGCTGCTTTCATCTTTGGACAACCAAAGAAGCAGGCAAAGTTCACCCCAGAGTTAGATCAAAGACAAGTTATCTGCAGGTCACTTGTGGCCAGAGGCTCACCTCTCCAGGCCAGAGCACCCAATGCCTGCTTCAGTGCAGGTTCCAAACACTGACAGAAGCAAGAGCTACTGCCTCTGCTCCAGGTTTAGAAAACTGCACCCTGAGATAAGAAGGACAGTGGGTGGCAGAGCTGGGATTCCAAATAGGACTACTCTCAAGTGCTATGCAGTCCAGCCCCAAGATCTTCTAGACGTGTCTGTTGAATGGCACACCAATTCTCATCAGGGTGAAAGGTCTCTGAACAGTCTGGATCAGTGGTCCCCAGACCGCAGGGGCCCAGGCTTCTCAGTACATACTGCCCATCCAACCACAGGAAGATGAGCTGTTCTTTGGAGATCCTGGCTTTCTTTTCATCTAGCCCTCAATGTCCTCAGTTCCCATCATCCTTATCCTCTTTCTTGGCTTCTTTGTACACCCTCTTCTACAGAAGTCTCAGAACAAACTCTATCCACTCCTCCCACTGGGGTGAGAACTTTGAAGACCTGTCAGAGCTCAGGGGTGAGTGGAGGAGAAAGCAAGAGCCTCAGAGAAACCCTCACTTCTCCTTCAAAGGGGGCCAGCTCTGTACATCTAAAACAGCTCTGTTGCTGTTTCTGTCCCCACAAACATGCTTGCTTCCTCCTTTCAAAGGGCGTCTGAGCCCAGGGATTAGGGCTAATGCCACTGGAATCCGGGGAGGCAGCGCCCAGCAGCTAGGCCCACTGAGGCTCTGCCAGCGGTTTCAAAGGGAGCATGACAGGCTTTCATCTCCCTCTGCAGATTGGGCCCTGCTGTGTGTGTGTATGTGTGTAGGGGGGTGCCTCCCTTTCTTTGCCAGGCCCCCAGCTCCTGGCAGAAGAGCTTCTACCTACAAAATTGGGGTGATGGAGTCAAGGAGCCCCCCAATCCTGACAAACACTCTGGCTATTAAATTTTACTTCAGCCTGGGCCCCAGGCTCCTGGGAGATGGGAGGCAAAGTCCTGGAGGACCAGACACTTCTGAGGCCAGTGGCTGCATAAGCTCATATGACCTTTAAAGAAACCCGAAGGCTCACCCTAACTTTCCCTTTTTGAGCTGAAAGTTAAGTCCCTTTGGGTCAGGGGAGGCCTCTGACCTTCCTGTGTTAGGTAAACACTGCCCAGGCCTCTAAACAGCCCAAAGATATGGCTAAGGCCTAACCTTGTAGCTGTTCAGAAGGCAGCCATGAGACCTTTCTCCTGTGTACTGAATATCAGGGGCTGTCCCTCATCATCCCAGCCTGGAGTTGTCAAAGGCCCCATAAGAAGGCACCCCAAGGCCATTCTAGCTCAGAAGGTGCAGTTCTCACTCTCCAAGCAGCCCTCAGAGCCACGCTCAGAATCCCTCTCTGCTAGGAAGCCTTCCCTCCTAACAGAATGCTTTTACTGAAAACGTCCTCTTTTTACTAGATCTTAAAGAGGGTTTTTCCCAAAGTACCCAGCTTCCCCAAAGACTGCCATCCCACAAAGTCAGATCTTAACTTCCTGCCTTTTGTGGTCCTGGCCCAGTCATCTGGTTTCAGCTATCATGGGGCTGAAGTCTGTGGACGGGCCAAAGGTCTTAGCAAATCTCTCCACAGCCTGCAGGATTTCAGAACACAGCAGGAGAGGATGGGAGCTGCTGAGCCACAGGCACCTAGGCCTGGACACCACGCAGATAACAGGAAGTCAGGGGATGGAAGTGAGATGACATATAATGAGAACAGTGTTTTCTGGCCTACTCTGAGGATACTGAATGAGACTCATCCTGGGCCCCCATCTCCCACCATCCTCAACCCTCCCCCCAGAGTTTGAGACCAAGCAGAGCAAGCTGACTTCAGGTCAGAGTCTCCAAGAAACTAAACACAGCATTTTACGACCCTTAGAAGCCTTGGGTGGGAGGTGAGCAGTGTCCTCTACAAATGGGAATGAGCTCCTAAGCTCTGGCTTAAGTCTGCCAGCAAGAGCCCGCTGCAATCCTTCTTAGAGAATCCTTCCCACCAGGCCAACCCTACAGGCAGGGAGCATCTACCCTGATTCCACATCCTCAAGGCCCCACACAGATAGGCTCTGAGTATGGAGCACCTAGGTAGCTCATAGGAAGGGAGGCCTAGGCTCAGACGTAGAGGCGGCAAACCACCCTTCCCCTGGCTCCATATCTAGGATGGGATGGCAGGAGACATGGCAAGACCATGCCCAAGAGCCATGCATTCCTACGGAACCATGGCGCGAGCTGTGTAATCATCGGCTGCATCTCTCAATTACTCCCCCGGCCAGGACTGCAATTACCACATTACCCTTAATCACCCCATGTTTATTAGTGATGCTCCTCTCCTATCAGAGCTGCTATTACTCTACATTAATAACCAGGTAGGCAAGCGAGCTTTCCTCCCAAGCACAGACCACCCAACTGCCAGGGCTACCACCTCTCTAGTCCCACTTCCAGGGGGGTGAGGCTCGTCACCTCTGCCCCACCTTTGGCCAAATCCATGCCAGCAGGAGGCTGGTGAGAGTGCCTGGCTGACAGTCCTTATCCTCACTATCTGGGCTGGCCCAGACCCAACCACCTGAGAAGCTTCACACAAACCTGAGTGTCAGGGTCCTCGCTCTGGATTTGAACTTGTCTTTCCTCGTCTCCAATGTAGAACTTCAAAACCTCTAAAACTATAATTGCCTAGGGCAGCTTGGCCCAGGCCTGGTCACCTCTAGTGACCCACAGCTCACTATATTAAAAAGCCATCCTCTCCACCACCAAATTGTGTAAGAACACACCTGTTACATCTCCCATTCCAACTTGCGGGCCCTTCTGTCCCCTGGACCAAGCTCTTGTCTACAAACACCAAAAAGCAGCTGGCCTTTTACACCTTTTCTTTCTTAAGTTAGCCACCTTCTGGTTTCTTTAATGAAATCTCCCAGGTACCAGGTGGACATGGCTCAGGCACGTTCCCACTGTGCACTCATTTGGACACATCTAGGTCCCTGTACCAAATTCCCACTTCTCTGACAGACCATAGTATCTTTTAGCAATTAAGCTGCAGGGACCGAGCCCAGAGGGCCTGTCCCTCAGATAGGTATATAAGCTGCCTGAGGAAGTGGTTCCTATTTTCTTATCATATAAAATCAAAACCCTTTTGTCTGACATTTAAGGCCTTCATTAATCTGGCTGAATTTCCTGGGCACTTACTTGCCACTTTTCCTAGTACCTACCCTTCTCCTAGTACCCACCTTTTTTTTCTTTATGTTCACTGGTGTTTTTGCCTGCATGTATGTCTGTGTGAGGGCTTTAGAGCCTCTGGAACTGAAGCTACAGACAGTTTTGAGTTGCCATGTGGGTCCTGGAAATAGAACTTGGGTCCTCTGAAAGAACAAATGCTCTTAACCGCTGAGCCATCTCTCCAGCCCCTGCACCTATCCTCTCCTCAAAAAACCAGATTCTGCTCTTGCACACAGCAATGCTGGGTACCGCCCACCCGGCCCCTCTGCTTCTGAAGTTCTGTCTCTGCATCCAGCCCCAGGGCCGAGCTTTGAACTGAGCAAGCATTTGCAGATGTTTGTAGAGTCCCTGAACAAAAGAATAAACCTGCCGCCTCCGAGCCCTCCGTATACTTGTCACCGTTCTGAGCAGGCAGCATATCATGTGTACCTCCATGCAACAGGCCCTGAGTGGATCATCCTCCACGCAGCTCTTTACCCAGGCCTAGTAACACCAAGTACTCAGGCTGCCTGGGGCCAGGTGTCAGGGAAATTCAGGGCCACCACCCCCTGCAGCTGGAGGGGCAGAGGGCAATTTGCTGCTGTGTATTGGTGAAGTATGGAGAAATGGACAGGGAAAAGCAATCTTAAAAAGACAGGGGCAGAGAGGAGGGGAACCCCTGCTTTTGGGTTTAGCCCAGAGATTCACATGCTGGGAGCCAAGAGCCATGTTTACCTCATTCTCCTCTTCATTGTGTAGCTGCTCAGTGTAAGCGTCTGGTTTCCGAATGAGAGGGTCCACCAGCATCAGGAAGGCCATGTAGAGTAAGAGGGCCCCTACCACAGACAGGTAGATGACGATGATGACCTACGGAAGACATCAGCCTTGTTCAGGGACCCAGCATCCAGAGTCAGGACCCTATTTCCAGTCTTATATCCGTGTTGGCTGCCAGCGACCATCAGGTTAGATACTGGTACTAGGAGATGGTGTGGGCCTGGAAGGAAGGAGGAATGACCCACACCACAGGCTCTGTGCTAGTCTGAGACAGTTCTATGACAAGAAACAACATTCCAGCAGGCACCAAAATGACAGAAGAGTAAAGTGAAGTGAGAGGCAGGGTCATAAGAGAGCCTATATCAAAGAGTAGAGATTCATAAGAAAGTGGGCTAGAGCAAGGATGACCACCTGAGGAGGCCAGAGAGCAGAGACCAAGAAGAGTAAGCCTGGGAATCTAGGCTGGGTGCACTGTGGATGCAGGATGGCAGGGGCAGCTCATGTCATGAGAGGGTATGCTGCTCCATGCAGGGATCACTATACAGGGATGAGAGGCTGCAAAAAAAAAAAAAACAAAAACAAAAAAAAAAACAAAAACAAAAACAAAACAAAACAAAACAAAAAAAAAACAAAAAAAAAACGAAAAAATTTAAAGGGCAGATTCAATAAGATTACTTATAGAGGAATTTTAATCCAGCAACATGGGTACTCTGGCTGGAACACAGACACCCCTTTAATCCCAGGAGACAGAGGCAAGCAGATCTCCCAGTTCATGGACAGCCTGATAGAGAGCAAGTTTCGGTTAAAGAAAAGCTTAGGTCCAGGGGTGGTGATACATGTCCTTAATACCAGTACTCAGGAGACAGAGGCATGTAGATCTCTGAGTTATAGTCAGTTCTGTTCAAGCAGTTTAGTTGAGCCAGCGAGTTGAGAGGCAGTGCAGTGGAGCTGAGTTCATGGTAGTTGAGTTTGTGGAATTCAGGGGCAATTTTACCAGAAGAGTTTTACAGAGAAAGGTTGAAAAAAGAACAAGCTAGACACAGGTAAAGACAGAACAAGCCAGAGAATGAGAAGGAGCCAGAAAATTAGAACAGATTGCTAGAGTTAGTTTGAGGCCAAGCAGAGCAATTCAGTCAGAGGATGAGCATGAATCAGTCAGCTTAGAAATGTTGAGTTTAGAAAGAGCAAGAAAGGTGAGCTTATTCAGCAGTAAATCTCAGAGGATGAAAACATTCCAGGCCTAGATTAGATTGTACACAGCCTAGAAGATTCCAGGACTAGGCCTAGGTTAGCAGACAGAGACAGCAAGCCTCCAAGATGACAATAAAATCAGGTGAATTAAAGTTACCTTTACAACTAATTCAAGGTGAAGCGTGGGAACTACAGGCTTTTTAAGTGGGCCCCTACATGATATCCAGCACTCGAGGTCTTTCTACCATGTCACTAATAATACCTTGTTATTAAGATGACAGAAGCATCTTCGCTCAGCCTGAAATGGTCCTGAGGGGCTGTGAGCACCACAAGGCCAAAGAATTTACCCAGTACCCCAAGGCCGGTAGATGAAATGGTAGAGATGAAACTTGGACTTAGCTTTGCTGGCTATACCTCAAACGCACTTTCTACCCACTCTACTCCCTCCCCAAATGCCTAGCCCTTGCTGCTTCTGATTCCAGCAGTGGCCCTGATTCTTTGTAAAAGGGGGGTTAAAAACAAACCAACCAACACTGTGGGCCGGGAAGATAGCTTAGTCAGTAAAGTGCTTGCCATGCAGGCATGAAGGTATGATTTTAATTCCCTGGAACCCACACTCAAAAACCTGCAAGGGTGATGGGATGCGCTGTTACCCTCAGTGCTCGGAAGTGGAGATGGGGGTTGCTGGCCAGCTAATTCAGCTGAATTGGTAAGCTCCGGCTTCTGTCTCAAAAGACAAAGCAGAAAGCAACTGAGGAAGACACTCAAAGTTTACCGCTGGCCTCCTCGTGGACATGGATACACATAGGAAATGGAGAACCTCAGGACTTACTAGCTTGATTCTCAGCTTTGTCAAAATCCAAGGTCAGTTGGACTCACTTCCTCCTGACCCTGGGCAAACAGTAACAGTGTTCATGCACCTAAAACAGGGTCACACTCAGAACTGTTGCCTACACACAAGATGGGGCAAGGAGAGGGGAGGTCATACAAGCGCTTGGGGCTCCTAGGCAGAGCAAGCTGTGAGAGATCAGGGGCTTATGTTGATGTGGTTCCCATGCTGGAAGCACCTTCCCTTCCACACAGGGAAGAGGTGACACTAGGCTCGGAACTGAGGGTCTAGGGCACCTACATGGTCTCTAGAGGGTGGGGACCTATGAAGAAGTCCAAACCATCAGGAGAGGCTGCCCCAGGCAGAGGGTGAATAGGGCGTACCCTGCACAGTCTGACAGGGCTAGGAAAGGGCAGACAGCCATTTCCCACACAAAGGGGGCAGTACAGGGAGTTACAGTCCAGAAAGGGTCACAGCTCCCTAGGGCAGGTAGGAGGGTCAGTGTGGAGAATTCAGTCTTCAAACTCAGGTGAATTATGTCTGTTGCTATTTCTCGACTTGTCAGAGGATGGTTGGCTTCAGGCCTCATGACAGAAGGACAGACAAGTACTTTGTAACACCTGTCTCCATGCCCTGTATGGTGGCCATACCTATCACTTCTGTCTTCAACTCACCCAGATGGTTGACAAGGGCGAGGTTCAGGAAAAGCAAAAGACCCCGAGTCTGATGTCTAACACCTCATGTGGTTGTGGAGGCTTTCTCAAAGGGCAGTGACATCATTTTGGATAACCTGCAAGCTCCCTAGGAGTCTACCTCTGCTCCCAGCTCTGTACACTGTACCCAGACAGTCCGGTTCCCAGAGATGTACTCAATGCGCTCTCTCTAGAGCAGTAGTTTTCAACCTATGAGTTGCGATTCACGTATCAGATATCCTGTATATCAGATATTTACATTATGATTCATAACAGTAAATTACAGTTACAAAGTAGCAACGAAATAATTTTAAGGTTGGGGGTCACCACAGCATGAGGAACTGTATTAAAGGGTTGCAGCATTAGGAACCCCAAGCTGGAGGGAAAATGAAGTCTCAAGGAGCTGTAAAAACTTTCAAAGCCAGCCCCTACATAGCCCAAGATGTGGGAATCAGGTCCTATATCTGTATTAGGCTTTGGAATGTTAAAAAAAAAAAAAAAATGAGAATCCGGGTGGGGCACAGGCATGCTCCCACACCCCAGCAGTACCTTGATGGTGGTGGTGCTGCGCTCCTCGTACCGGCACTCGCAGAGCAGGCAGTAGGCTTCCACATCGTGGCCGGGCACTGGCATGGGCTCCACCACATGCAGGCAATTGCTGCAACACAAACAGAGGTGATGAAGGTCCCCACACTCTGAGGTCCAGCAAGCAGGCGGCAGGGTACTGAAGGGGTAGGAAAGCCCATAGGTAGGAACTCCAGGAAGGGCAGAACCCCTCTCCCAGTCAACTGCCTCCTTCCTGGCCACTGTCGGGTGTATCTCTCTGCCTGCACAATTCCCATCAAGGTCCTATAGCCCTGCTCTCAACCTGCCTTTGCCTCTTGTGCTGATTCCCCTGCCGGCTGCCCCTGTCCCAGGAGGCTGCACTCAACGCGTGGGTCTCCAGTCGGAATCTCTCACAGCCTTCTAGCCTATTGTAAGCTGAGCTCTTTAGGTCCACTGATGCTCACCATCTGACTGCCCCATGGAGCCATACACTCCTTGTCTGTACACTCTGGCCCCTGTCCTCAGTCCTGCACTCCGACTGTGGGATCTGTGGTTCTGAGATGGGTGGCAGCAACTAACTCGCAGCGCCTCTTCTGCCAGTCAAACCTGGGAGTCGTCTGTGACAACACTTTTTCTTTACCTACAAAATTACTTTTTGTTTTGGTTTGGGTTTTTTGTTTGTTTTGTTTTGTTTTTTTTTGAGACAGGGTTTCTCTGGCTGTCTTGGACAGCCTAGACTCAAACTCACAGAGATCTGCCTGCCTCTGTTTCCCGAATACTGGGATTAAAGGCGTGCACCACCACCGCCTGGCTTAAAATCTACCTTCTTTATTTTCTCCCTTGACACGTCTCAGCTGAAGTTCTCGTGATCTTTCCCATGCAAATGTTTTTGTCTTTTCCTAGTTCTTCGCCTTTAGTTTGGCCCTGTCTAGAACCAGCATCCCATGGTGGCCAAATGACAGTACAAGCTACCAAAATGGAACTCTTGTCATATCATTCTTCAACTTAATCAGCGCCTTCACAGCTCATCCAAGCCCCAGGCAAACAGCCCCTCTCAGGCCCTGCCACACGTAGCCAATCTGCCCACTGTACCTTAGAGCCAGACTGACCTGCGGGCTATTCTCAAAAGAGGCGCATGAAGCTTGGAGTGTGTAGCTCCATCCACCTCCTCCTCTAGTCTGGTGATTTAAAAGGCTTGACCTCCCATCCACACTGCCAGTTCCCCTGCCTCATCCCTACCCCACACAGCTCTTAATCCATTCCACCCAGTGGGTGTGAGGTCCCATGAAAACACGTCTCCATAGCCCTTGTGTTGAGCATGGTGCTGGCCAGGGATCAGTGAGTAAGGGCCAAATACATCACATGCTGAGAGTGAGCTCACACTGCCCACTGTCACCAGCAGTGTTCCTGAACGAGGACAGATTTTGCATTGAAATGAGAAAAACAAGCCCAGGACAGCAAAAACTGCAGCTCCACTATGTGTGTGAGATTTTGGCCACCTGTGGCTGACTCAGTCTCAGCCTGGCTTGAACCTATCTGTAGAGCTGGGCCTCATTCCTAGACTTCCTTAGATCACTGGGTTTCCAACCAAAAGACTCCAAAGAAAAGCCACTATCACTGGGAAGAAAATAGGCCCCTCAGAGGTTCAAAGAGGAGAACCGGGAATCATGCGATAGTGGATAGTCAGCCCGCCTGTCACTGTCTGAGCCCTGCGCCTGTCCCATCTTGTGAGATGCTGTGGTTGACACCTGAACGTGGGTCACTTTAAAGAGGTTCTTCCACGTCTAATGAAAGTTCCCCAAAAGTCAAGCATGGCTCCCTGAATACAATCAGGCCTGATATTCCAGGCTGGGATTTTGACAGAAGCTCCAATGATATGTAAAAACATGCACTGAAATAGGGGTGGAAGGTCCTTTAAAAGACTCCATTTTTCCTTATGTCCAGTATGCAGACATAACCCATCAGTTATCTAAACCTCTGATGATCCTGGTCCCATCTCTGAATAACTGCCACAACCTTCTATCCCCTACAACATGAATAGGAGTCTCCTTGATGTACTTCAGGGCACTCACTGCCTCTGAGCCCTGCACATGCCTTCTCTGGGAATCACCCACAGACAAGGCTAGTTTCCATTTCCATCCTGAGCTGGACATGGTGGTGTACACCTGTAATCCTGGGTCTCTGTGAACTAAGGCAAGAGGATCGAGTTCAAGGTTATCCTGAATTATGTAAGACTGTCTCTAAAAACTAAAGCAAGCAAACAAAATCAATCTCTCATCATTCCTGTCTGGAGAGAAGGCTGCCTTCCCTTCTCCCAGGAGCAGAGTCCGACCTTGCCTGAGCCACACAGAGCAGGAAGGCTCTGGATCAGAAGCCAAGGTGCAGTGTTAGGAAACCATCTTTAGTTCTTCAATTTGGGACCCTGGTACCCAAAGAAACTGACTGTAAGGAGGTACAGGGAAGAGCAATAAGAAGGCAGAACATTTCTCTCTTTTGTGGTTCTCCTGGGAGTCACTGAAACCTGACATACTTTCTTGTTTCCCTAAGAAGGGCTTCCACTTACCCTTTGGGGACTGGGCAGGGAACATTGAGGAAGAGGCAAAGGAGAAAGACAAGCTGGGCATAAGTCTCTTCTCTTTTTCCCAGACTGAGAAGTCAGCAGGTAACTTACTTAACCTCTCTGGGCCTCAGTTTCCTCATTGATAGTGGAAGCTAAGCTTGATCGGCCCTTCATGCTGTGCCCTTTTGGGTAACACCAGAAACACTGTGCAGGAGGCAAGTGGTGGTAAAGGGTTTGCATGGCCTCTCAGTCAGTGCAGTTCTGACTTCACACCTCATACAGCCTGTGTTTCCCTGACAGGCTGTGTTTGCAGATGGATTCTATTTTAACAAGTCAATCTTGGGATTTGTCTATGCAACACTTAACAGATCCATCAACAGGGCCTTTTCATATGCATGTAATTCTAGATTTTCAACACTAGATGGCAGAATACCAGCACAGCTAATACACACAGCTGTAACACTGGGCGCTGGCCTCAGTCTGAACACCAGCAGGGGACCCATGGGACACAGGACCTGAAGACTCAAAGACAGCGCTAATTCTAGCCTTAGCACCAAGATGCTAGGACCAACGTCAATCTCCACTCCGCAAAGGGCGCCAAGTAAATCTGCCAGGCCCTGGAATCCTGGGGTCTTACCTCCAAGCTTCAGTCTCTATCCAATACCCTTAATGGTACTGCTCTGACATAAGGTTATTGATGTCAGACTGTCCATCAGATAGCTCCAAGCCTGTTTCTAAAGGGAAGGATAAACTACAGCTTGGAAGGTTTAGGCAGGACCCTGTCCTCTGGACAACCAAGCTTGGGTTTTACTGCAGGACAGTGTTGCTAAAATTTGCAGTAGCAGAATCTGTGAAGGAAGTGGGGACAGCGTAGCAACTTTGCTGATGGGCAGGAAGCCACTGGGGTCCCTCCCAGACCTCCATTATTTTAGGAAACATAAGAATTAGACTAGTGCTTTGGGAGACAGCCACATTTTCCAGGGCTATAGAATAATTTGACTATGTAACCTCTAGGAAGGGATGATAATACATTATTATTAACAACATCAGCTAACATTTATATAGTATTTAAAGTATGCAGTATCATTCTAAGTGCTATATAGTTTCACAAAAGCACATACACTTCACAGTCAAAGTATTACCATACTTTACTCATAAGGAAATCAATGTGGAGCTGGAGAGATGGCTCAGTGGTCAAGAGCACTGGCTGCTCTTCCAGGTTCAATTCCCAGCACCCACAATGGCAGCTCACAACCTTGTAACTCTGTTTCAAGTGAATCTGATGCCCTGTTTTGGCTTCCACTGGTACTGCATGCACATAGTGACCAGACATACAAGTAGGCAAGCACATCCATCCATCCATAAATAAATAAATATTTAAAAATCAAAGTACAGTGGAGATTAAGTAATCTGAAACATGATTAACAAATGGCAAAGCTAGACTGGAGCCCAGTAAGGCTGGATCCATAGTCTGCATATCCACATAGAATGCATCAGAGAGGCTGATTGCTACCGGGAGGTTTGAAAACTCTCAAATGTGCTCTGGATCAATGGCATCATGAGTGCTTGAAGGACTCTATGCAAAGGTCACTCCTCCAACACTACAATATTTGCTGAATCAGAGTCTTGGCAAGAGAGTGCCAGGACTATGTGTTTTCTCAAAGCTCACTAAGTGATCCTTGATGTGCAAGGGGCAGCAGCCTTGGCCCACCCTTGTTTAGTGCATACGCCTTGACCTTACCCAGAATGTGTTCCCATGTCTTCAAGGATGAGGGTTTCCATCCTAAAACTGCCAGCACTGGAAATGTTTCCTTAATTCACACGGAGGTCTAGTTCCCTCAAGCTATCATGTACTGGCCCTACTTCTACACTATTAAGTCACACCAGACCTTTCTGGTTCCAATCCCAAGTGCCCCTTTCCCTCAGCATGACAGCCTTTCTTCCTGTCTTCAACATCCACCGAATGTCCCCAGGTCTCTCCCTTTTCAGGAAGATTCTAGCTCCTTAAACTGTTCCTTATAGAGTATTGTATTTATACTTCCTTTCACTAGTTTTCTTTACCTGAGTGAATTCTTGGTCACTCAGCGTCTTTTAAAGTAAAGGACTAAGTAATGAATTCAAAACCAGAGACCCAAGGAGCATAATGTAAGATCTTTGTGTGGATCTGGGTCTGTGCACTTATACAATGGGAACAATATCTACTCCATTTGCCTTAGAACCTTGTCCAACTAGCGCAGCATACAGGCAGCAGAGCTTTGCAAAAGTGTATGCTATACACACCTGCCTCTCCCACTTCTCCACTGTCATCCTACATGTGTCAATAAAGACTTAAATTCAACAAGACAACAAAGTCCAACCTCCTTTTTAGACTTCAAGATACCTTGGTTTTCTTATCAAGTGGTTAAGGATAAATATTCCTCTGTAGGCTCTCCACAGAAATGGGTAATTTATCTTTAGTAAGCACTGATAATTTCAATCAAATGTCTGGCCAAGGGCCAAGGGCCAGACATTTACAATGTCTTACCAGTCCTTCTGAGACACATTCTGGTTGTAAATGTGCCCGCTGATGTTTCTATAAGGTGGACAGATGCATTTGCACCGAATATCTTCAGAGCTCTGTGGGGGAGGGGAAAAAGGAGTAAATACCAGGGAAGATTCCTGCCTGGGTTCAGATTCCAGACAGGTTAGCACATTTTAGGGCTCTGTCCTATACGGTCGCTATAGGTATATGTATGCTTTTGAATTTTCCCATCCCCAATCCATCCACGACTATAGAAAGACTGTTACATCATAGTACTTATGATGCTTGGCTGGGTGAGGGGCAAGGGTGGGAGACAGCTATCTCCGTGGCAGCCCCTCCAATTGAAACCTCTCTGGTATGACAAGAAACTCACAGAAGTTACCTGAGCTGCCATTCATAAGTGGTGTGCTTGTGGGGGAGGGGAACAGTGTAAAGCAAGCAAAATGACAGGCGTTTTCAACCCCTCGGCCCCCCTTGTGCAGAATTTTCTGTCTGATGGGCTAGGTGGCCAGAGTTCCCCTCCTAATTCTGTCTTAACTCCCTCATTAGAACGGGGAAAGGGGTGACTAAAGAAAAGCGGGATGTTACCATGAGAAGGCTCCCATCAGGAATTCCTTGAAGAGCAAAGAAGCAAGCCCTGACGTCAACTCAACCTCACTCCAATGTCTTAGCGGTCTTCCGAATCTAAAGCGTAGAGCCTCACAGATCATCTAAACCTAGCCGCTGGTCTCCTTATACCTGAGGAATGTGAGTAGTCCGGGACCCACCAAGCAGACGGTCAGCTTCGAAGCAGAAACTCCCATCTGCGCATGCCTCTACACTCCAGAGCATTTTACAACACTGAGTGAAATTTGGTTATCCCCCAACTGAGCAGCAGATTCGACCACACAGCTGTTTTTACTTGGGGCAAAGGAAGACACTGAGAACTTGGGTAACTTCTCTGAACAAACTTGCTTGCTTGCGGGGAATTCCACCTAGGGCCAGTTTGGTCGGAAACCTGTACACTGTTAAGAACCCGGTGTTCCCTACACCCTTAGGAAGGCCAGGTAAGGTCCCTCCCTCTCCCCCAAGGACGGTCCTCGGGTGGGTGAGGGGCAAGGGTGGCGCTGCGGCTAAGCCCGCGGCAGCAGAGCAACAAGGCGCTGCGGGCTCACCCCCTCACCTTGTTGGCTTGAGCTGGGGGTACCAGCAAGCACCCCACCACAGCCACCAAACACAGCAGCTTCATGCTTATCAGGCGTGCTGAGCCAGCAAGACCAGACGCCTGGGGGATAAAAAGAAACATGGAGTCGGAAGGACGGAAGGTGGTCACAGCACACCCGGCACCCTCGGCCCCTTTACAGCTTGGCCGGACGACCGAAGGGGGCCGAGTTTCAGAATCCCTGGGCCTTCCAAACCTTTCCCTCTCCCCACCAAGTCCAGCTCTCAGAAGCTCCCTGTGCACTAGCAGAGGTAGTTTTCTGGGATTACAGCCGCCCGGAGCCCCCAGATCCTGTCACCAGGCCCCACTCCGACCCTCGCCCCTCCTCCCGCCGCCCTCCGCCATCTCTGCCTCCACAGCCCCGGTAGAGCCGCTCGGGCCCAGCGAAAAGCCCCGATTCCGACCGCCAAGGGTGCTGTACACCCTGCCTAAGGATTTGGGGCGGCTGGGAACCCCCAGTGTCCCTACGACCCCGCACCCCTCCCCCAGTGCCCAGTCCACCAACCTGCAAGCTCCGCCGCAGCCGCCACAAACCAGCAGGCTCCACCCCTCCAGCTTCTATTGGTTGCTACAGCCACCGCTCAGCCCAGCCTCGCTAGTTGCCAAGACAACAAGGCCCACCTTCGCCTTTTCCCAGAGGCTCCCACTGTGGCGAGAGGTAGGCAGTTCTCTACCAGGACCTAGCAAGAAAAGCAATGTCTCTTTTCTTACTGAAAACCAAAGATCTAGCGTGGTGGATCCTGTCAGCTCCTCCCAGAGTGCTTTGTTCTTTCTCGCGTTTCAGGGAAAGCGTTTTAGAAACGAAACTAGTAACCACAGTAATGATTTAAAAACAAGATCAAGGACCATTGTACAATACAGCCTGAAAATATAATTTAAAAAGCCACTTAAACAAACAAATAAACAAACAGGGAACTCAAGTGCCCAGTCCCTATTCCTACACACAAAGACACATCCTGAGGAAGACAAACAGGATTAGTAATAGAAGCTATGCCTCATTAGCTTGCTTTGGCTGTAAAGGCCTGGCAAATTGAAATGGGGTATACTAGACCAGGCTGGAAATAGGAGGAGGTTTCAGGCTGCAAAGGGACATATGTGAACTTCTTATCAGCAGTGGAGCAAAGTGGAGTCCCGGGCCACAGCGAGGAGGACATTTGAGCTTTGGCCTCAGGCCAGCATGGAACCACACACCTGTGTTACCCTAGAGACAATATCTTCCCTCTCTGGGTACCAGTTTCCTTAGCTAAGAGTCCTTTCAGCTTTGATGGGTTGGGGTTCCTGAAGGGAGAAATAGCATATAGCCAGAATATGATTTAGTATAGAAAATATTGTGTCACCAAAGAGTTTTCCTCCCCTGATGCATTATTTGAGCACTACTGTGTCAGGTACTAGGCTAGACCCTGAAGCTAATTGGGGAAGGGGTGAGGCAAACCTTGTCTCTGCAGTTATGTGACTTGATATTTATTACAAACCCCCTCCCAAAACAACAACAAGAGAAAACAATAGTCAAAAAGCCATTACAATTTAGGATAGTAGGAGTTTTGTTGGAAAAAGAATGCAAAAGCTAGAGGGAAACCTAGACCAAGAGCCAGGGGAGCCCAGAATGGTGGAGAAGAAGCTCTGATGGTAGCAAGGGGCTCCCTGAGCTGTCAGTGTGATAAGAATATGGCGCTCCTATGAAAGGCCTGTGTGCTACTGCCTGAACCTATGGCTATGCTATTGTATCTAGCAAGGGACTTTGCAGATATGATTTTAAAAATAACTAAATAAATAAAGGTCTCTTAGGGTCCAGAGAGCATAATGGACTATTCAGGCAGGTCTAATCTAATCAAGGGAGGCCTTAAGAAAGAAGTTTTTTTTCCTGCTGTGGTCAGAGAAAAATGTGATCATATGTCAGGTGTTATGTTGCTGGTTTAGAAGGCGGAGGAAAGAGTTTTTTTTTTTTGGGGGGGGGGGAAGAATGCAGGTACTTTTGAGAAAAAGCAAAAATGTGGCCTTCTCTAGACCTTCTAGAAGCCCTGTAGATATATACTTTGATTTTAGTTCACTGTCACTCTTATGACCTACTGAGATAGAATACATCTCAGTATTTGTTTTTTAAGCCACAAAGCATGTTGTCACAACAGCAACAGGTAAAGGCAGAGTGCAGGGTGCTGCAAACAGATGCTTGCAAGAAAAGAGTAAATGGCTCAACATGAGTCTTCGTGCATCTGTTTTGACCCCAACAATCTTAGCGGCCATTTGCCCATATAAGCTAGGTCTTAAAATCCATGTTAGGACGGAGGCTCTGAGTCCTTCCCCACCCCTACCCTATTGTGGGTGCTCCTGGGTAGGGGCTTGTTGGCCAACATCACTGCTGTACTGGGCATCTCTCAGAGGCCTCAGCTTATGCCCTTAATTTCCCTCTAATACCCAGCATAAGCTTATCTGTCCATTGCCCCCCCATAGCCTCAGGCTCCTGATGACCTTCCTAAGTTGGCATTAACAACCGCACCTGAGCCACACCACAGGATCATCCAACCTAAGCAGAGAATAAAGCCCAGCAAATAGATGCCAGTCATGTATGGGATGTTCAAAAGGTCAATAACTGGGGACAGAGAGTAGTCTTCATACAAAGTTGTCACTCTGCCCACAGAGAGCAGGTCAGGTGCATGGGGACCATCCTTGAAGTGGATTAGGCACCATCCTCAGATATCCTAAGTAGTGTCTTGTCTCTGACCAAAGTGGGATTTAGCAAGCCCCAGGGAAACTGGGGTACTGATGTGACGGCAGAAGTGTCTGGCTGTGTAGGTACCCTCTCTTGGTGTCTCATAGACACTCTCAACAGCATCTCACTGAAGTGATCTTTGCCAAAGAAATAGTCATTCTAATTATGCATGTCTGCCCAAAGCTTAATAAATGATACAGACCCTCCAGTCTAGTGTGTGGGGCACAAAGAGTCAGACCTAACACACACATTTGCGTTCCAGCTCTGCACTCTCCTAGCAGTCACTGATGATGCTCATGGCCTTGGGTAAATGTCTTCTCCCGTGCTGTTCTTTTTCTTGGCTCAGCTCCTGCCTCTGCACATGTGTGTCTGGGTGTAGACCGTGTAAGTGTGAGATAACACCTCACTTTGGGGCTCCAATTTTCTTACTCAAGTCAAATATTTTGGGCTTTCATTTTGCATTTCAGCTCACAGTAGTAGGCAAGAGTGCTGTTATACTAAGTCTATGGAATCAATTTCACAAAGTCTTAAAGAGACCCCTGCCAGAGCACTACCCCACAGGGCCTCAATTTTTCTCGATGGAGATTTGTTTGGAATAGCATTTTAAAACATCTTGGTCTCTCATCCTCTTACACTCTTTCAGCAGTTACTTAGAACTCCAAAGATGGTTTGTGATGGTTCTAGCTATCACTATCAAAATTAAAACAGAAAAATTATGAGTATTTATAATCATTTATAACACAGGTAACTTTTGATAATCTGAGGAACAAGCAAAGTATTGGTTTACATTTTTTGTCACCAACTTTACTACTTGGTTGAAATTGGGAGAGCTGGCTTCTCCCATTCACTTCTGCGTTTAATCCTCTGTGATACATCTAACCTTGGAAAAGCTCCATTGTATGTAAGGAAATCAGACAGAAAAGGGTAAATTGCTTCTTTGTACTTCCAGTGGGGAGGTTTCAAGGTGTGATTTTCCTGAAAGTCTTCAGAGGCTCACAGACATCCCCAGGCAGCTGACTGAAAAGATTGTTAAGTTTTTGAAAAAAGATGACCATCTATGGCCTTTCTGAGACTGCTACATGATAGTAGTTTTCAACATACATTTTAGGAAACACACTCTTGGTAATTGTATCAAGAAATGTTACTGTAGATTGGTTACAACCTGTGTAGGGAAAATGTAAGGCCAACTACCACATGATTTTATAGGGGGATTGGCTGTTCAGACAGCTGAAGGCCAACAAGCATGTCATAAAAACCTTTAAAGTAAATTCAGTACACATATTTTACTTTACAACTTTTTAGATACTTCAGTTTCTTTTTTTGTTTTTTTGTTTTGTTTTGTTTGTTTGTTTTAAGACAGGGTTTCTCTGTGTAGCCTTGGCTGTCCTGGACTTGCTCTGTAGACCATGCTGGCCTTGAACTCACAGAGATGGGCCTATCTCTGCCTCCCTTGAGTGCTGGGATTACAGGCATGCACCACCACACCCAGCTTTGCCTGTAGTTTTTGACCATTAATTATATTTGTTTGTTTGTTTCCCAACTGTTTGTTTGGGGACAGGGTCTCACTATGTACCTTTGGCTATCCTGGAACTCACTGGGATTCACCTACCTCTGCTTTGGGGGCACTGGGATTAAAGGCATGCACCAGTAGCCCTGGCTTCTAATTTATTTTTCTAACTTAGCTTTGATGTGTGTTTCACATGAACTCTAACTGGATCCTTGCTTTGGGGAGGTCACAGGTGCACAGTGTCAACAGGGATCAACTACCTCATGATTTAATAGGGGGATTGGCTGTTCAGACAGCTGAAGGCCAACCAGCCTGTCTTAAAAATACAGTTTGTATGGGCAGATGACTAATGCCTCTTATATTAGCTATGTCTTGTTTTGAATAAAATTTTTTGAATTTTTGTAACCCAACTGATAGATAGCAGCCACCAGAGGCCTAGACAAAGAATACCAGCAGCAAGTCCACCTCAGGACAATCTTAGTCAGAGGCTAGACATGGACATGTTTAGACTTTTTACTGCTTATAGACTGAAGGGATATAAGGTAATGTTTCTAGAGATGCCCCTTACACATACACAGGGAAAATAGGGAGCTTAGAGGCAAGCAGGGAGAGAGGAGGTGAGAAGGGTGGTGGATGTGGGGAGTGCCAACGACCCGTGGCCAACACCTTCAGTCCACGGTCCAAACACATTTTTCCACTGAGAGTTTCAACCCATGGCTTAGAAGCAGCAGACAGGAGTTCCAGAAGGACATCCAGTGGCTGGGAGGCAGTCTGTGCAGGGACTGACGGTCATCAGGGTAAGCCGGTATAAACTGGCGCCGTCCCATAGGGAAGGGGTCACCAGTAGGTGGTGGTACAAGGCAGGTATCTGGATGGAACCCTGAGTAGAAGCCATGTCAGCAGAGGTCACTCGCTGAGCCCTGCTTCTGTGTGTGAAAGTCCAGCTTATATTTACGATGGATGGGGAGGCAATATGAAAGAATATGCATTCACCACATGCCTTAAGCCTTAATGTCACTCTCTTTGCTGTTTAATTATTGAAGACTTCATAGAGAACCAAGTCACGTCACATTTTTTGTTTTTCTTTAACCTTTCTTCAGGGAGATATAACAAGTGTACAGTAAAATGCGTGTGCTGGCCCAGTTTCCTTTTCAGTGACAAAACCCTTGAAAAAGTCAATTTAAAGAAAGAAATACTGACTTTGGCTCCCAGTTGCCAAAGTTTAAGTAGGTGAGCACTAGACTCCCTTGTTTGGGGAACTGTGATTACGATTACGCTGCATTTCATGTCCAGGGAAATATGATGGACTGAAATTGTCCTCTTCATGGACAAGAAGGCAGGGAGGGAGGGAATGTAT